ACATCACAGCACAACATAATCAACAACAACATCAACAGCAACAACAACAACATAATCAACAACATCATCATCATCATCTGCAACAACAACAANCTTTATCAACAACATCAACATCAGCAGCAACAACAACAACAACACCAACATCAGCAGCAACAACAACAACAACAACACCAACATCAACAACAACAACCTCATAAGTTGCAGCAACATCAACAGCAGCAACAACAACAGCTTCATCAACAACAACAACAACATCATCTTCATCATCTTCATCTCAAACGCCACCCTCCTACTCTCCACAATCATGAAAATAATAATTTTTTCAATCTACAACATCCCTCGTCGTCATCTACACCAACTTTATCAGCAGCGACTACATCAACGACATCGTCCTCAGCAGTTGCAGCAGCTGCAGCGACTGCAACAGCAGCAGCAACAGCAATGTTACCAACGTCACCACAAGCCGTCTCGGAATATTACGGCTGTATCGAAACGACGACATCACTATCGAGATCTCCAACCTACAACTACACCATGTACGCTTTCAGAATTTTCTTCATCCACCTCATCCCCTGCTTTGTTCTCTCCATCATTAATGCCAAATTGATCCAAGCCATGAGGAGTGCAAGTAAGAAGAGGTTCTTGTTAAAATTCGGCCGAAAAACAATTGAAAGAGACCGGAGAGTCACCAGAGAAACTGCTTCGTTAAAATTTAGCGGGAAAGCTAGTAGAAAATTTGGCGCGAAAGTAAGTAGAAAATTTGGCGGGAAAGTTGGTAAAAAATTTGGCGGGGATGATGTCGTAAACTGCATGGATAGTGGAAAGAGAAATGGCGGGAGAGCTGATGGACCGGCCCTCAAAACTGGCGATGGGGGTGGTGTAGAAGAGGCAAAGAACAATGAACGAGTGGAGGAATTGGGAAATGATTTTTATGCTTTGGATGATTTATCGTTAGGAAAAAATGACGGGAATGGGATTGGTGTGTTTGAAATCGCGGCGACTTCCACTTCCGAGCAAAATATGAACGTAGAATTTACAGCCACACTAGCCACAGCCACTAAGAAAGATGACGTCGTTGCATTTGATGCTGCAGCGATAACAAAACCGGCAGCTCCAACATTGCCAACAACCACAACAACTACAACAACAACAACAGTTTCAACATCAACAACAGCAACAACAACTACAACAACAACAGTTTCAACATCAAC